GGGCTGGCTTTGAACCGCGATCCTCAGATCTCAGCCTCCTGAGTAGCTAGGATTACAGGCGTGAGCCACAGCGCCCAGCTCCATGCCCATTCTTCTAAACCTCTCCATCAATGTCACTGTGACCACCCTGGTCCAGGCTACTGTACAGCTCCAGGGCTTCCTTCCTTTCCTCCCCGTGTCCACCTGTGGCAATGCACAGATTCTTCTCATCTAGACTCCAATACGACCAAGTGGCTTCCCATGAGCTGTAGTATAGACAGTCTGACCCCTCCCTCCTTTCAGCAGTGGGCACCCTTCTCTCTGATGGGTCACCTAGCCATCTGATGACCTGAACCAAGTAACCATGCACAAAATCAGCAAAATCGGCATTTCTAGGGCTGGAGGCATGGCTTAGGGATAGAGTAAGTGACCAACAACTGAGTGGCCTTGAGTTCATCCCTCAGTACTAAATTTAAAAAAAATAATAAAATAAACAGGAATTTCTTTTTTTGGGGGGGCGGGGTTCGGTCGTGGGGCCTGAACTCTGGGCCTGGGCACTGCCCCTCAGCTCTTCAGCTCAAGGCTAGCGCTCTACCACTTGAGCCACAGCACCACTTCCATCTTTTTTTTCTGCTTACGTGGTGCTGAGGAATCCAACCCAGGGCCTCAGGCATGCAAGGCAAGCGCTCTACCACTGAGCCACCTTCCCACCCCTAAACAGGAATTTCTAGGTGAGGCTATCAGTCTCCTAAATGGGGCTGGTTGAGGGGTACAAACCCAAGGACAATGCTGGAACCAGACTGCAAGTCACACAGCTCCTAGTCCAGAACATCTTTGACATGACACCCTGTCAGGAGTATCCTCTCCCTCCCACAAACTGTTCCCAAGACTGTGTGGGGCACCCAACAACTTAGAGAACAGAGTTCCACTCGCATAAGAGTAAAATGAAAAGGAAAAAAATAAAAAAGCCATGTGGCTATTTGCACATTCCTTCTAATTTTCTGAGCTCCTCTCCACAAACCAAGTTTCCATCCCTGAGGCACTGCAGAATCACAAGTGCCAGGACTATGCAAAGACCCCAGGAAGAAGCGAATTTATTCTTTTTCTATTGACCCATCTGGCTTCTTTCCGTGCCTCCCTGTGCCAAACAGTCTAACCCAGTTACCCCAGAGATGCGGGTCATCCATGCAGGACTGGTGATTGGAGACGGTGATGAGGGGGGTGGCAGGGCCTCGGTTTTCGATGAGCTCATAGAGCACTTCCTTGTTGTGGACGGTGAGGTGGTTCATATACTCTGGGAAGAAAGGAGGGGTGCTGTGGGTTTCCATTTACTCTATCCTGGCCCAAAGTTTGCCTCTGCCAGGCTACGTCCTCCCAATTTCCCCAAACTCAGTCCCCCCAACTTTGGCCAGGAGTAGGGGGGGCAGGGATCCGTGCCAGACTCTGCTTTAGTCTCTGGCTCACTCACTGGTCCAGAAGCAGCTGTACGTGCCCACCAGGCCCATGACGACGCTGCTGGCCAGGGTCCAGGTGAGCGGCGGCACGGCGGGGAATGGCCATTTCACGTGGAGGGGCATCTCCTCCGCCCCCCCCCCGCGCGTCCGGGTGCGCCCGCCACAGCGCAGACACTCGCACCGACCTAGCTCTGTGTCCTCAGCCACTCAAAAGAGGACCTTGAACAGGCCCGCGCACAAACCGGGGCCGTTGCTCGGCACCACGGAAGACTAGACCAAGGTCACCTCGTGTGTCAACATCCGCCTAGCTCCGCTGTCTCTCCACACAGCAGCCGTCTCCGGGGCCAGATGCCAGCCCTGCAGTCGGAGCGGCACCAAGCTGGAAACGGGATGGTAAAGGCGCCTGGATCTCACACCCGCCGGAAAGCAAGCCGAGGGGACCACGCCAGGCTCCCGGCCGCTTGTCGCAAATCGCGCCGCTTGACGGCAGTGGAGGCGGATCCGGTCCCGCCCCGCCCCACTCTGGCAAGTCCTGAATTCTATTCTTTGAGGTGACAAGGGCCGCGCAGTACAACAGCTGGTGTGATGACGTCTTTTTATTATTCCCCTCTTTATTGAGGGAATATTCCCACAACATAGGATGAACCATTTATGATATTTTAGTATTATTACATAATATAGGCAACATGGACAATTCATATGTATTACATTATGTAATTTTACATAATTACAAACGCGCGGGGCTGGGAAGTTGGCTCCGTGGTAGAGCGCTTGCCTTGCATGCCTGAGGCCCTGGGTTCGATTCCTCAACACCACATAAGCAAATAGAAAAAAAAAAGCCACAAGTGGCGCTGTGGTTCAAGGGGTAGAGCGCTAGCCTTGAGCTGAAGAGCTGAGGGACAGCGCCCAGGCCCTGAGTTCAGGACCCACAACTGATAAGAAAAATACAATAAAGCCATCCTCTATTAATTTTTTTCCTTTTTCTTTTTGTGCTGATCCTGGGGCTTGAACTCAGGGCCTGGACATGGTCCGTGAGTTTTTGTGTTCAAAGATACTGTTCTACCAGTTGAGCCACAGCTCTACTTCCGGGTTTTTTGCTGGTTAATTGGAGATAAGAGCCTCAAGGACTTTGCCCATGCTGGCTTCAAATCATAGTCCTCAGATGTTGGATACCTAGGATTATAGGCGTGAGCCACCAGTGCCCAGCTATGAAGTCTTTTTTATTTAGTTTA